TGTTATCTTCTCCCCATCTCACCCCCCCCCCATGCAACTTCTGCTCCCTGCTTATCCTCTCCTTCCTCTCACCTTTGCTCTCTGCCTGCAGGTTTCATGCATGCTGCAGCCAGGAGCACTAAGCACAGCTCCAGCCCTGAATGGCTGCTACAGACCAGGTTGGGGCCATGCTTATTGCCCCAGGCTCAAATGGGAGTGGATTATGCAAGCACAGAGCAAGGGTAAGGGAGTGGAGTGAGGAGTAGAGGCTTGGGGAGAAGCTGGGATCAGAGGTTGGAGTAGAAGGGATGAGTGGAGGCTGTGTGGGGACAGAGGTGGCAGGCGAACATGTACAAGTTGGAAGCAAGCTGCTTGACCTCTCCATACCATCTGCCTCCCCACTGTCTACCCCCTGCTGTAGTGGGAGGGATGAATTAGATTCTGTACATGGAAAATTATAACAAGTTTCTAAACTTGTAAACTATGTAAACTTTATAAACTGTGGGGTCATCTTAAATTTGGGGTTGTGTTAGATTCAAGTAAATTTGGAAATAAACTTTACTTAACATTGAACTGGGTATCTCTGTGAACATCTCTTTAGTGATCTGATCATTTTTATTAGTGATGAACAAACACCAAGGAAGATGATCAGTCTTGATTAATTTCAGATAAACAACCAAATTTGGATGGAAGTTCCCCTCTCATTCATTTTGTAGTGTTGTTTTGCAAGTATAAGCATTAGCAAATGTAAGAGAGAAGAATGTGCCTTCCTGGCAGGGGGCTGGACCAGGGCTACAGCCACCTCAAAATTTGCCATATCCCCCTTGCCCGCTGTAGCTTTCCCTCACAGTGCTACCGCCTGCCCTGCCCCGCCCCTACCTGTCCTGAGCACAGCTCCTGGCCCTGAGCCTGCAGTGGGCTGACCACATCCACCCTGAGGCACACCAGAAGCCCGTCTCATCCACCCCACTGCGGGGTGTGTGGGCCTCGGCATTCCACATCCAGGCTGCTGACATATGGCACCTGAGAGAGAGCCTCAGTCTGAAGACTGCATCCTGGCCAGATGTACCTTGATGGGAGCCCTAAGATTTGGTAGATATATAGAATTTCTTGATTGCTTGTATTGCTTCTTTTCTGTTATCCCTGTGGATCAATAAATGTGCCTATTATTGAATGGAAAGGTTATGGTTGGTTTGAGTGTGGGTCCTAAATCCAAAGCCAACATGAGGCACCCTCC